CGCTCACCGCCTGCTCGGCCTGCGCCGCTGCCTGGCGGCGGACAGCTCTGCTCCGGCCAGGAGCTGGCTTTGTCGAACGCCTCGCCGAGAGCTCTGGAAGCTGGCACCCGCCGTGACGGCGAGGATGTTTGCCGAGCAGCACCACTGCATGTGTCGGCCGGTTCAAACTGGGCCAAGCCCTTGTCCGGGAGAACAGTGGGCTTGTGTCTGGCAGGGTTGCACAAAAGTAGCAATAACTTTGAAGCAAATCGTTTTACGGAGCAATGTGAGATTCACCCAGATGTACTTCAAAGCGGGCAGAGTTGTCTTGTGTAATATGACTGAAAATTAAATATTCATATGTAAGCTGTGACAGTTCAAAATAACATGTTGGATTCTAACAAGTCATGCAATCTCATGAAGTGTTCAAAAGAGCTGTATTTAATTACTGTTTTGGAAGCTGTTAAAACAGCTTTTTGAGCAGTCACATACATGTAGTAGGTAGAAAAGAAGAAAAACATCCTGTTACCCCGTAGCACTGGCTAGCCAGTGCAGGAGTGTCATCGTGTTAGTTATGATGAAATTCAAGTCTGCCATTATAAACACCAGGGTGAGTTTAATGGATCTGTTTGTCTGAATCTTTTCCTTCCTCAAACACACCTAAGGTCTAAAAAAAACCCCAAAATAAAAAAACTTTAAAAAACCCCAACCACAACAAACTCAAAACACACAAAAAACCCCCACATCTTTTCCTTCCTCAAACACACCTAAGGTCTAAAAAAAACCCCAAAATAAAAAAACTTTAAAAAAACCCCAACCACAAAAGACCCCCACAAAACAGTGAATTTGCTACTCAACTTTGGTTTAGGGCAGCTGCTGTAGCAGACTAGTGTGAAGTAGTTTGCTGTGGTTCAAAAACTAATTTCACTGGCAGGCCCTATGTTGCTAGTTTCTGACCTAATATGGGTGCAGTTTAGGCAATGGGCTTGGGCCAGCAGTAGATGCTTTAGGTGCAAACCAATGACTTTGTCGGATGGACTGTCAAATATGGGTGTTCGTCTGTTTTTCTCTGACTCAATGTAGTAGCTTAATGTAATGTAAGCTAGGAAATGCGCTTGCATGGTGTTAGTTACTTTGCAATAACTTGTACATGTCATACATTTGTTCCCTTTATAAGAAAAAAAAGTTGCTTAGTCTCCAGTGTTTTTCCTTATGTGAAGGAAGCCAGTTATGGGAAGTTGTGGCACATTGGCTGTTCTGATGCTACTCACATTGTACATTAACTCATTTGTCTACCTATGCCATTACTGGCTTTTTTGTAAAGTAATGTGACAAGCCATGACTCTGCTGTAGTTGTTTCTGCAATGCATCTGTATTGGCAGGAGTGGTATTTTGTTTTTCAGTTCCCCTCTTGATGTCAGTAAGGTCTTCCCAGCAAGGGGAGAAGACTGACTTTTCCCTGTGTAGTCAGTGCTGCTGTGTGCGTAAAACAAACTGCAGATAAAAGCATGTAGGTGTGGTAGCTGTAAACATTGTGTCAGTGAAGGAGAAGAAAATTGTCAGACATTTCTTTGAAATACTATGTACTAATTACACATACAGTTAAAATGACTGGAAACCCCCTTTTGGTATTAACAGAGGATCAGAAGTGCATGAAAAGATGTTTGTTCTACGAGATGTTGATTGGAATTAGGGAAATGCCTGATATTTGAATTTATTTTAGCCACAGTGCTTCAGTAATTTATGAAATACTTTGTCTGGATTTATGGTTTGAGCCCCTAAAGGAGTGTGTACAACCTGTGCATTTTAAAAGCCCCAGATTACGAATTTGCACAGTAGGAAAAAGTGATTGGAGCAGAGGTTTGGGTCTTGATGCAAGTAAAGCCGAAACAGGGAATAACCTGCTAACAGTTAGGATAACTGCACTGTCTGAAGTTCTGATCATCTTGCTGCCTAAACTTGTATCCTGCAGAGAGTTAAGGATACTAGCTTCCACCAGACCCCCACTAGAACTGCTGAAGTGTAAATTGGGGTTTAGACATCAGAGCAATGCAATTAATCACTTGTGTCACAACTGACAACTGCAATGAAGGTCTAGCATGCTTCAAACTGCTTGCAAAAGGAGGTGTTGGAGCTGGGACTTGGTGCAGGAAATTGGTTGTAGGCAGCTTGGTTGTAGGGACTTGGTTGTAGGGCAGCTTAATGGATAATTTAATACCTAATTTTTCCTGATTGCAAAAGTTCTGGATACAGGTTTGGGGCCAGCGTTTTCTTAGCTGGGGCATTTATCATAGTAGAGCTAAGAATGAAAACAAATTCTGCAAGTTATGTAATTGCCCGTAGTGATGAACAAGTAGCCCCATTTACCCTGTTGTACATGGAATTGTGGGGTGCTACAACAGAATGTGCATAGGATATTATCCAAAAATCCTATTGGAAGGAAAGCTGATTGCTTGCTAGCAGCTTGAACTTCAGTGATGAGTGATTCAATATAGCTTTTTAAAAGTAGATTACACTTAATTTCAGAAAAAGTAAAATATAAATGTCCCATTATGGTGGGAGCTAAGACATATCCCTGCGGGTATTAGGCTTTATTTATTGAAAGGTTGGGATGTTTTTTGTCATATGTAACTACTTCTGGTTTCCATAAATACGTTGAGTCTTAAGAACAAATGCGAACAATTTTTTATGTTCTTCCCTGAGGGTGAGTAAGGATGAATTTATAGAATTTAAGACAGACTATAGGGGAAATTAGCAGGCTGCTGTTAGTGTTGATGGAAACTTTGATTTGTCTAATCAACTGACCTATTGGGTAATTAGGAGCAGCTTTGTGAATTTTCCACCTAGTTGTCAAACCTGCCTTGATCCCAAGTGTAAAGGTTGGTGTGACAAATACGCTTATGCAGTAGATGCTATTTGTGTGTTACTCCACAGTGCCTTTCCAATGTTTCAAGTTACTGCATTAATCATGTCACTGGCAAAAGTGCCATCTTCCCTTTTACTGTGGTGGCAGAGGCATTTCAGCTGTGTAGAGGAAGTGTGGCTTCTACTATTGCATGATAAATGTGTGTATGCTGTTTTGGGCTGCTCTTAGCACATTTGCTTTTCTGAAATGCAGAATGATTTGTGAATGGCAACCAAAGAAATTGAAACATAGGAAACTAATCCGAGTATTTAATTGATATTTTACTCACTAAATTGAAATTACTAAGTGGCCTTAGGAGTTAAAGCAGTTCTTACTCTTCAGAACATGATATTAAAGTGCTCATTTGTTTTAATAGTGGTTTAGATACCGTCTTCAGTTGTAGCCTTATCTTTTAAGTGTAAATGAATAATAGGATGGAGGCCATTTACTCTCCCTTGTGCTGGACTTTCTCTACTTGGTACATCCATTGCAGATTTTTGATTACCAAACATATCTGAGATGTTATTTGACATGTATCTTGATTTACAAACATCTTTTAAGATCTTGTGTAAACAAAAATATCTGATTCCACTGCAGGCATATGTTTTTCTTGCATATAAAAGAAGATCTTCTTGCTGGTAACCTTCAGTGTTCGTCAGAGCATGCAATTGAACTTAGTGCATTGCTGGCACAGATGAAGTTTGGCGATTATAACCAGAACACTGCCAAGTACAATTATGAAGAACTGTGTGCAAAAGAGCTCACCACTACCATCCTGGAGAGGTAAAAAGAACACAATGATACAACCTTTTTGGAGACCAAAAGAATAAAATTGTTAGGCCCTTAATTGCTGATGCTATAGTGTCTTACAGTGTTAAAAAAATTAACTTCACATTGGAGATCAAAATCCAACCTGGGTGTTTAACTGATGCTCTGATTTCAGTTAACTTTTAAGCTCAATTATCAGGCTGTATTTTTTTGTGGAAAACAAAAGGTGTTGAACTTCAGTACTTGTGGAGCAGGTACCCATAATTGGAGCAGGGTAATCACACAGCAAGTATGTCTTAGACCTACACTTGTGAAAGAAAGTAGCAGGGATTGAGCTGGCTTACACTGAGATGTAAACCAGATTCCTGAAACACCTTCATAGGTCAATACCTGAATATCAAGAAGGTTTGTGTCGTGCTTTTCTGTAGTGGTTTTTTTTTTTTTTCATTACAAACTTGATGGTTGTTCAGGTAAATACATTGGGGTGGTGGTGTTAGTTGGAAAGTCCTGATTACATGTAGCTTTTCACTTTCTAAGCAAATGCACAGTATTCTCTCCTGAATGCCCTCAGGATGTTTTGGTAATTCTCAGTTCTTTCCAGTTCATGATTACTGGAAATGTACAGCCAGATAAAGCAGGTCAGGAGCATTTAATAATCTCTTTAACTAGGTCATCTAAAACCCCATGTTAAAACAAGCTGCTGACAGCAATGGTGCACACTTGAGTTATTTCACCTGTCCTTAATCTTTTTATCAACAGCATTATTACAAAGCACAAGGAGCTGGAAGGTTTAAGTCAAGCTTCTGCTGAATACCAGGTTCTGCAGATTGCTACAACCCTGGAGAACTATGGGGTAGAGTGGCACTCAGTGAGAGATAGTGAAGGGCAGAAACTCCTTATTGGTGTTGGACCCGAAGGCATATCCATCTGTAAAGATGACTTCAGTCTTATCAACAGGTATGTGTTTTGTGGAACCATTTTCATCCTCCATTTTTCAGAAGTGCTGAGCATGCTTGTAACTTTCACATAAATATAGAAAACTGCTGAATGAGTGACTAAAACAAGCTATTGAAACGTAGGGTTTGAGGACCCAACCTGCTTATAATCAAGGCAACAACTAGCCTTAATACTCTTGACTTTTATATGTATTTTTGAGGCAGCATCTTCAATCCAGCATTACAGGCAACAGTTGGAGATCATGTAAGTCCTGATAGAAGTGCAATGTGGTAGTTTGTGGAAAAAGCCCATATCCTTAAAAGCTAAATAACCTATCTCTGTTTTTTATTCACTTACAGGATTGCTTATCCTGTTGTTCAAATGGCAACTCAGTCTGGGAAGAATGTATATCTGACTGTTACCAAGGAGTCTGGTAATAGTGTAGTTCTCTTGTTCAAGATGATCAGTACAAGGGCAGCAAGTGGCCTTTACAGAGCAATTACGGAGACGCATGCATTTTATAGGTCAGTATTGCCACTAGTCAACTGCTGGTCTTCCCCTCATTATTTGATTTAACTGTGTAAGGAAGCAGCTGTCTCGCTGCACTTGAGAAATTCTGCAAAAATTCTTTCTTTGCAGTTTTGACTTCTCTTAAGTCCACAAGCTGAACAGGTTTTTGCTGCTTTCCATTTCGTAGGGTGGGAGTACAAGACAAGTAAGCAAAATATATCAGTCTACCACTGAAGTGCTGAATAACAGCACTTCAGTATACAAGCTTAGTGTGTTCTTTGGTGCTTCCTAAACAACACTTCATAGGGACAAAAAAAAGAGTAAGAGGGGAGGATGAGAGAGCAAAGGAGAAACAATATCATGCCTTTGAGAATATGTACATGGAGCTCATAAGCACAGGTCCTGTATGACACCTTCCCATCTCCACGTGCATAAATCTTCCTACAAGTCCTCTGTCCTTGCCCAATATACACAGGATCTTCTTTTGTGTTAGCAGCAATCCACTGTCTTCACCCTTTCATTCTTTGAGGTAGGGGTGCTATACTTGCTTCCTGAAGGCTGATTTTTTTTTTTTAAATGCTTCCTGAAGGCTGATTTTTTTTTAATATGTGTTTTCATGCCCACTGTGAGGTCCAAGAGTAGAACTTCAAAGAGAATCTGTTGTGTTTTCCTACATTACCTACCCTGTATCAGCTTCCATGACTTTGTAATAGGTCCAAATCTTCCAAAGCAGAGGAAAAGCATATACACAAGGCAGAGACCTGTCCAGTTTCCCGAAGTAGGTTACTGAAGAGTTGGAGCAATTAAAATGAATTAGGTGTGTGGGCCCTGCTGCCCGGTAACCAGCCTGCTGCTGCCCAGTTAGGTTGTGAGCCTGATATTTGGGATGTCTTATTTTGCTCCGTAATTGTTTTCCTTTGTTATGCAATCAGTGTTTAAGAGCCTAAATATTGCCTCTGAATGGTCATTTTGCTTTAGTTTCAATTCTTGTACTTGGACTTTGGAAACAAATTATTGTCAGGATAGGCTTATTCGTCTAGCTAACCATGTTTGCATTTGTCCTATTGTTTTATAGGTGTGACACTGTTACTAGTGCTGTCATGATGCAATACAGTCGAGACTTAAAGGGCCACCTAGCGTCTCTCTTCCTGAATGAAAACATTAATCTTGGTAAAAAGTATGTCTTTGACATTAAAAGAACATCAAAAGAAGTTTATGATCATGCCAGGCGAGCTCTTTATAATGCTGGCATTGTGGATCTTGTTTCAAGAAGCGACCAAACCCCACCAAGTTCTCCCCTTAAGTCTTCAGAAAGTAGCATGAACTGTGACAATTGTGAGGGTCTTAGCTGCCAGCAAACCAAAGCTCTGCAGGAGAAGTTGCGGAAGCTGAAGGAGTCCATGCTCTGTATGCTGTGTTGTGAAGAAGAAATAAATTCGACCTTTTGTCCCTGTGGCCATACAGTATGCTGCAAGGCCTGCGCTGCCCAGTTACAGGTAATGGCAGTGTGACTTAGCAAATACATGCAAGTTTTGGGGTTTTTGTATACTGAAGTCACGGATTAGCGTGTACACATTGATATTCTAGTAAAACTTGTATTTACATTTTGTTTGTGGTAAACTAATTCCAAAGAACATTCTGTTTAGAAGATGTGTTTGAAAGATGAGTTTTAGCTCTGCTAACTTGCGGTAAGGGTAAGAATTAGCCGCGTGTTTTTCACGATACCCTGCTTTAAACATGGAGATTATAGAAAAGCGGTCCGTTCATGTGTACGTGGAGGGAAGACTCTAGGAATTGTAGAGACTCAGAATATGAAGTAAACTAATTCACTCTTGTTTTTCCTTTCCAGTCGTGTCCTGTTTGCAGATCTCGTGTAGAGCATGTCCAGCATGTGTACTTGCCAACCCACACCAGTCTTCTCAATCTGACTGTGATATGATCTACGTATACACTTTAAACTATCGTGTACTTTTTAAACTGCACTACTAAAAAATGCAACCTTTGATTGTGAAGAAAGCAGTCACTCTATCCACGATCAAAAGCAGAAATACTGCATTTTTGAACATAAGTATTCAGCATTTCCAAAATGGTTTGGGACATCTTTTGAGATCAGAAGTGTAATTGATTCATGTTACTTAAAAGGAGAATGACGTGTAAGTTTGTGGCATGGTGGCGTTGCCAAAAAGCGAGGCAAACCTGGAGAAATGTGGTGTACATGTATTGACGTACCCAGCGAGAGCAACGCAGCCTTTTGTTTTAGACTCTTCAGATCATTAGTAGTACAGTTGCTCCATTTATTTTAATAGTAAGACTAGCTTTTACAAGTATCAGTTTGTTATGGCTCATAGTTTCTGCTTTTAGTAAACTGCTTTAAAGAGGAGAGTACTTTTTTTAAAAAAAGATTCTTCATCTGAAGTTACAAGGCTTCATCAAGCAGCCATGTTTAGTTCAGAATTCCTTTAAATAGAAAACAAATCGTAGAAGGGCTTTGGAGTGGTTAGGACAAGTTTGTTAATCTAAAAGCATTGAGGGTGGCTCTGGAAAGTCGTCTGGTCATCAGTGTCCTGTGGAGGCACTGTGACCGGATTTTGTTCACAACTCTCAGTGGGCAAGAGGCACTCCTGAGTTTCCCGCATCAGGTTTGGATGGTGGTCTTGAGAGCTGCAGTCAGCTGCCCTTTAAGGTGGCTGTATTTTTGGAGACTGATTTTAAACTCTCATACATGTACCATTAATTTCTAAAATAAGGGTTGTGTATAATTTTAAATGCTTTCTTTAGTTAACATCCTTATTCGGTAGGTCATTTGTTTTTAATCTCCACCCCCCCTACTTGGGCATTTTGGGTTCTGGTTTCCTGGTGTATTCTCCAGGGTACAGAGGGAGCTGGAGGCCATGTTTGGGTGCAATACTGGCTTAATCAAAGCTAGAAAAATACACTGTCACTTTACTGAAATTTTCTGACTATACTTTTCATATTGCCTTAATGTAGCAGTAATGTGTGTTTATGCATCTGTTTCTTTGCACAGACATTTTGTCAAAATATTAAAACTCTACTTTTTTATGACACATTAGCATATAAACCTTACTCTGAGAGGGTATTTATTTTTTCACTTTGTAAAGAAAATTTTGTTTCCTCATGAAGCAAGAGCTTTGTCCTATATCGTAGGCAACTTCTGTCTTTTTATATTCAGATTAATAAAGGACTTTAAAAATCTACCTTTTGTTATCAGTAAGAGTTTAATTTTGT